CATCACTGGAGCCGTTGATAAGTCTCTTTAGCTCCGGGTTTTTATTGGTAAAGGGATATTTGTCCTTCGCCCGGTTCTTACCGGTTGTGCTCCATGAAACGGAATCAGTTCTCGCGAATGAGAACGGAGCCGCCCGTGAAGTGGGCGAGCGTAGTCCAAGATTGGCCTTCCTCAACTGCTCATAGTATCGCAGAGCATATGGACCAGTCTGAAAAACATTTAGAAATCGATTCGATAACGTGCTGAAGTTTGCTTTTCTTTCTTGTCCGACTGCGAATGAATCATTGCTTCTTGTCTCTGAGGGATCTCCAAAGTAACGCCCTTTCAGCCCTATGTACATGACAGTAACAAGAGCCGGATGAATAGGCACAAATTCTTCCACAGATTCTGAGGTTGAATTCCAGTGTTTCTTAAGTTCAAGGACTGAATCCCATGCTTCCAGCAGTGACCGTAGTTGCCGTCTAACTCGCATGAATTCGTCCCCGCGTTGACGAAGAAGGGCTTCAGTCGCTTGTTTTAAATTGGCATGCGAAAGCGATGTCAGTTCTTTAAGAAAAGTCTGATCGTTTTTTTCAAAGAACATGAACGACTTTGACTCCCAAAATTCGTGCAACTTGTTGATTTTGGTTGATTGAATCATTGTGAATAGTCGATGTCAAAACTCAACTCTGTTATGGGAAGACAGGAGCTTGGGGCAACATCTCAACTCTGTTATGGGAAGACAGAAGCTTGACGCCACAAGACGCAGATAGAGATCTTTATAGGCCATTCTATATGAATTTAGAATATTGCTAAAATAAGCCAGATTTGTTATATACTGTACACCCTTGCTGGGTGGGGGTTATAGGCCATTCTATATGAATTTAAAATATTGCTAAAATAAGTCGGATTTGTTATATATTGTACACCCTTGCTGGGTGGGGGGTTGTAGAATTAGCTGAGTTGCTTAATTTAGCAAGACTGCTGCCTCTCAGACTGCGAAAAACAATTAAGCCGAATGCTGGGCGCAATAGAGCTCTAGCTAATTTCGTCGTCGATGTATGCATCTAGTGGAGGTGAGCGACGCTCGCCATCTGTCATATCTGGTAGCGCGGGAATCTCATCTTCAGAAGGGTCCGAGAACTGGGAGTAATCATGCAGCACCCTTCCGTCTTCAACTCTAGTCTGAGAATGCGATGTCATTTCATTCAGAAGCGTCAGGAGCTGTTCGTTTATTCCGGAAGGTTCACTGGGTATACTCGGCCCAGGCCGTCGTTCCAGTTGCTTTCGGTCAGAGCTACCCGCCTCGTTATGAGGTTGCTCTTCTGGTGTGAGCTGTCTAGCTTCATGACGTCCCCCAAGGTCGCCCGTCCCAACACCGATATCCATCGTCAAGTAAGTGGCGGTAGATGCTCGTGGAGGAATGTCAGGTTCAAAGTTGGCAAGCTCAGCTTGTTCGGGCAATAAATTAGCTGCTGTATCAGATGCCAAGAGCGCTCCCGGTGCCTCGGACACCGCAGCCTCCAATCCCGGTGCCAAATCCATTTCTGTGACATCTGGATCACAGAATGGAACATCGAAATCTGGTGTATCAAACTGCGTAGCGTCATTTGGAGAATGAAAATCGGTTACGATGTTATCTTGATGGACCCTCGTAGCTCCTGGCTCACTTGGCGCCTGCTGCCTAGGACTGGGTGGTGCACGGTTCTCCTGTCGTAGTATTGCCATAATGCCCTTTGGAGTCTTGGCCAGCTTCGTCTTCCGCCCTTTGCGCGTTATCATAAATGCCTGAAGCTTCTTCGTTGGTGTTTTACCCGTTACTACTGACTCACTGACGGCCTCAGTCGATGTTTTTTTCTTTCGTACCATGTTCGGTTGTGCGGTCGGTAGCGGCTTGTCGTCCTTGTTGCGGTGTCTCTGTCTTCGAGCTTCCACGATGGCCTTGTTATTTCGCCGATGCCTGGGAGTCGAAGTGGTCCGGTCGCTATTATGTGACGCCTTGACTTCTTGTTGTATCTTTTGTTTCTTTGCCTTTCTTTGTTGCAACTTCGCAGCGGTTCCCTGGAGGACCCAGGCCGCAGGAGGAGGAGTCGACATTATTAGGTCGACGCTTTCAGTTTGATCGCCATCAATTCTGTCGAGATCAAGGCTCCTAAATTTGAAAAATGCCTTCAAGATATCACTGAGAATACACAGAAAATCCGGTCGATCTGACCGGGGAAATTTAGCACTAATATTTGGTAAAAAGGCAGTCCGCTTTAAGGCCTTGAAGACCTCGGTAGTCGGTTTTCCGCCTCTCCAGTCCGCAGAGGATTGCTGGAATAAGCGAGACCTTGGTACAAGGGTAGAGTCTGGTGCCTCGCATAGTCCTTCAATATCCTCGATGGGTACCTGGCACCCTTTCCTTATCTTCTCATTGTCAAAGCCAAGCTCTCGCGCTTGCCTGCATAGCAAGCCCACATATGTCTCATCGATGATGGCAGCTATGTGCTCGCCATCATCGCCTAGTAGGGGGGAATCCAAGGATAGGCGTGGGAAATATCTTAGAGCGGCCAGAAGCAGCTGGATGCCAGGCTGCATTTCCATCAAGTGTAGCGTGCGGAATTGGCCATGAAAGACTTCCACCTTGGGTGTGCAACTGGACCAGTCTAGTTTGAGGTTGTCAAATAAATTTCTGATTTTGGAATAGACTGTGTCGCGTTTTTCAGCCGATCGTTTTTTAGGTATAAATTCTATGTGGTTTTCGAGAATTTTCGTCCCGATGGCAATGTATCTCATATTGTCGTTAAAGGTCTGGAAAGTTGGTATTACCGTATTCAGAGACAGCAAATTTCGCTGTAATGCACTCCTATCACGTGGAGAGTGTATGTCTTTAAATAGCTTGCCATCCTCAAAACCGCTCTTAATGTCGGCCCGATCCGAAGAGCTCCATGATGGTGCCCTGTACTGGAGACTGAGCACATCCTCGTGCCGCACAAGATGAATAAGATGTCCCAAGTTAGAAAAGATTCGATCTACCCAGATAAAACGGATATGGTCCAAGTAGTTTTCCATACAGTTCGGTATATGTGCAGCCATATGTCTTGCCCAGTTGCCAAGCTGCAGGTCCTCCCACAGACACGCTAAAGGAAGCAACCGATCCATACATTCCATCAACGAGGCCCTCTGCAGCATCAAACTCAGTATGTGTCGCTTTGATTTAGACAAACAATCCATCCATTCCTGGGCAACGTTAAGTCTGCCGTTGTTCTTGTAAAATCGCACGTTGCGAAACGCATCCCCGTCTGATATAGATACGCCTTGAGCTGGAAGAAAACGTAAGCCCTTT